AAACAATCACAAATTACACCAAACTGAAGAGAGAAATAAATCTAGGCCATACAAATATTTCTCCCGACCCGGGAATCGAACCCGTGACCTCTGCGTGGCAGACCAACATGGTTACCGTTCAGTCACGAAGACAGTTTAGTTAGTGTAATTAAACAATTGTAATAAACCAACTAATTTACAGGGGCAGGTTGGCATAAATATAGTGCCATATATTTGGAAATTGCTTTAGTTGGTTAATATAGATACCATAGTTTTTATTGGACTACATTGTCAGAGAGCGCAGTGTTAATTGACCTGACTGGCTTATCTAGGCGGGTTGTGCTGGTGAAGGTCTTGGAGTTGCAGGCAACAGATGGCCTAGGTACGGTTCAAAAGATACAGTCCTTAGGGTATTGTAATGAGAAGTAGCTGTCTTAACAGATTATTTATGTAAGCTTGTCCGTATGGACAGGCACACATAAACCAATTAATACTTTGGCCGCCGTGGGCGCTTTAAAGCGCCTTACATTAACTTGAGTGAAATTACTGGCACAAATTGCACCCAAACTCGAAAGATGAATAAATCTAAGTCATACAAATTTGCCCGGGAATCGAACCCGTGACCTCTGCGTGGCAGACCAGTATGGTAGCCCTTCACTCACGGAGACAGTTAAAGAAGAGAAAATAATGCCTCGTAGACAGGCGAAACACGCGTCGGATGTATTTTCAATGGTAGTATGTGTGATAAAAATAATAATATATTTCTTTATTTTCTCCCACAATAAATTAATAAGTAATGGAACTATGAAAATGGAATGTAATGGAATCTGTGACAGTAGTTGCGCTTGTGTTATTTATTTTATTAATTTTATGCGAAGGTAGAAAATTAACTGCTTCTAATAAATATTAAACTCAAGTTAAACGATGCTTATAAATTTAATTTACTTCCATTTTAATTAACTCCATTTTAGATTTTCTTTTTAAGTTGAATTAAAGGACCCTGAAGTGGACGATATGGACTGCATGAGGAAAAGCTGAGAGAAGCACAAATACTGGATCGAAACTCAATAACAAATGTAATGCGTGACACACTACTGATAATCAAAACATATATACAATAATACAAAACAAAAACATAGCAAAAAGAAGATAAAAAAGCAAAGAGTTTGCGACAGACCCATTTAAAAACTGTCAAAATTGGAAATGGAATTGTACTGACCATAAGAACTAGTCATGGCCATGGGACCTGTAAAGCCCAAAACGTTGGTTAGTTTGAAAAATAAAAACTAGTATACACGAATTTTGATCCAAAAATAATAGTCCAAAGTTACAGGCGACATGTTAAAGAATACGAGCATTCAGTTTTCGACGTAAAACGCAACATAAAGCACGCAAAGTTCCTTTTTCAATAAACAATTTTGACTTGTATTATGCGTCAGCGCGTCGTCTAGTATACAATCTAAGACAAAGATCTTGAATTTCCTCAACTATGTGGTAATGAATGTCGTCATAATTAACAAAGTCTGGTTTACAAAAGAGCCGCATTTTATGTTACTGTGTCTATTGTTAACCCTAACTGCTAAACAATCTAATCTTGATAGTTTAACAGCACACGCTCTATCGATCGGTATATTCTATCTTTTTTAGCTTCTGCGGTATCTGTGTGCGCGCGCCACTTAGGGTGTATCGGGACACAAAAGGCCATTAGGTCCACAATATTCCATAGTGTGTATAATCAAAGGCAACCATCTCGTTTAGAAAGTTAGCGACTTTCAACAAGAAATGGGCCAAAAGTTGAACAAAGTTGTGAATATACCTCCATAAAAACCGGTTCAAAAACCACTTACAATTTCTTTTTCGACCAATTACGTTTTATTTATTGTGTTTTAATTATTATGATGTCTTTACAAGATATTTATTGTTTTTTTCTCTTTAGTGTAAAATTTCAACCATTTCTATAAATGTGAAGAGTGCAATCATTCTTTGCAATGGATGGTTCTAAATCATTATTTATTTTTGCAGCAACTTCAATAAAGTCACGTCATACTTGACACTTAAGGTTTAAGTTCAACTCTACGTCTCTTGTGATACGAACGGTCCAAGTTCAAAGTATCTAGCTTGATGTGCTCTTGACTATACCTTTTTTTTTACCTAATTACCTATTGTGTAGTTTTCATTATTTTATCAGTGGGTACATTTAGAACACACTTAGTCTTAACTGTTTAAAAAATATCTTACGTAAACAATGCGTGAGATCAAAATCACTACATTTGACTTAATGGGTTTATGGGGTTCAACGTCCTTTCTTTGGGTTTCCTTAAAAGATGCCGTAAATTTCTAGTGATATATATATAGGTTGTCTTTTTATTCAACACCCAATTTTTTTTCAAGCATTAAGTATTATTCAAAGACTCTAGTAGTCATAGTACATGAAATTCCCTGGTTTGAGATCAAGCCATTGGTCTGTCTAATACATAGATATGAAAAAACTTGATAAGTCGAGATCTTAGGCTTTCGCGATAGTTACATATAGGAAATGAAACTATTTTGTCGGATCTAAATTGGGTAATACTTGTTTTGCTAAACAAACCCTCAGCTATGGCCTGAGACCTGCAAAGGTACCGAAACGTTGGTTTGCTTGAAAAAGCAAATAAATGAGATTCAGATAAAAATATTCGCTTTTCTTATTGGTAAGTTAAATTTGCATAATATGATCATTTTCCTGAAAAAATCTGTACATCATGGTTACTAACGATACGTAAATAATGCAATAATGGTAAAACGGTTTTGAACAAAGTAGTAAAAATTTACGACAATGATTCTTCGTTTTTTCCAAAGTTTGCCTAGGCATTTTTAAAAATCACTCTCTAAGCGTACGTGTTGAATATGACGCTGATAGAGCTTATTTGATAACATTGGACAGTTATGTCATGTACGGCGACCAGTATTACCGATTCGCGTAAGACAATTTCCCTTGGCGAGGTCACGTCGTGCGGAACTAGTCGACGTGATTTATTTGTGCCATTTCGTGCTTTACACAAATTTGTTTTGTATCTATTCTATTTTCTAATGCCTAGGTTATTACGAATACTTAGGAGTAAAACAAATTTCATGGAAGCGCAAAGGTAAATATCAATTTACATGTGAATTGTTGCTATTACAAATAATTTTTGACAATTAATTTCCATTAGGTACGTTCATGAGCTTTGATAAAAGTGTTTATGTGTTTACTGACCTGCGATGCGACACGACTCCTACGCAATAGTCGTAGGAAAGCCATTTCGTTTTATATAATTATAACTTTTTTATAAGAAAAAGACCGACCTCAAAGTTCGTGGAATTACATTTATTTGCAAAATTTTATTTAAATCTGTTAACGGAAAGGGGGTGAAATCCAATAAACTAGATTCATCCCTTAATTTGCCACCCGCAGCGGTGAAATTGGGACTACAACTGAGGTATTGTCTTTTAAACAAAAAAGAATCATCGAAGTCGGTTCACAAATGTCAGAGTAATCGCGTAACATACAAATAAAAACAAAATACACACACACCACATTCATAGCCCCGCACTTCGGAAAACCCATAGGGAAACCCTGTATCGCGGATGCCATGGACACACACATTGACAATCACAAATTACATCGAAACTCACGAGAGAAATAAATGTAGGCCATACAAATATTTCTCCCGGCACGGGAATCGAACCCGGGACCTCTGCGTGGCAGTCCGGCATGGTAACCGTTAGGCCATGGAGTTAGTACTACAGTCGAATTCAGAATCCTCCTTTTTTAAAGTCGGTGAATAAAACAAAAAGCCACCTTGTAGCCATGTTACTTCTTAATTACTTCCAAATGAGCAATACAGTCAAACTAAAATAAGAATTTGAAGGTACATTTGTTTACCTATCAAATAAAAATATTTTGAAATTGAGTGCTTACCAAATTCGGTTTGGACGTGCGCCTCAGGATCTTGTTATTTGTGCTTTTCATACACAATGGATTTTCTAAATAAACTGTTTTCTGTCGGAGGTTTTTTCCTAAAACAACAATAATTAAGTTAAAATTGGCAATACGGTATGCACGAAAGGAGCCTGCTCACACGACGCGTACCATTCGTTTCCCGAAAGTCTGGCGCATCCTGGGCTACTCTACTACGTCGGTCTTTAATAGTCCACTGTTCGCCATCGCAAAATCAGGATTGAGGAGAAGCCGGCTTTCCAATAAAGAATTATTGTTACTTAGCTCACGTATTCTGCCTTTATCCCTCGGTTTCTCTTCTTCAACAAAAGAGATATGGAGAGGTTCTATTGCTTACCGGTAACCAAACGGCAGGACTGAAGTTCGATGACCTGAAAGCACTGCTCTCAGGCTCAGAACGTGGGACAAAAACTTCGCTCAACCGTGAAAACTGACCGTCAAATTAGTCTGAATTTCGTCGAATTAAATGCCTTCATAGTGACCACTGACCGCTTTTATTGAGGTTTGCTCTTTTATTCTGGAGTCATTGACCTGTAATCATATGTGTCAATTATTTTTTGTGAAATGAAGTTTTATAACCTGCAAAGAGAATTTGATTCGTTCAAAATTAGAACGAGAAGCAGTACCCAAGCAATTGTGTATGTAAAAACAAAAGAAGATCTACGTTCTAGAGTTTTCTTTTTTCAAAAGCTTTCTTAATTTTCGATTTGCAAATGACAGGATTGCAAGTGTTTATCGGGGTACAAAAGGCCATTAGGTCCATAGCGCTTCATCTAGTCTGGAAAGTCTTGCGACTATCAACGGGAAATGGAAAATCATCCTTAGGATCTGTAACCAAATGTGCAAACACTTTTGTATAAAAACAAGACTACATGACACTTCACCTTAAAATATATAAAGTATTGAAGATTTTTTTTATGATACCTAGTCACGGCACAAACAAGTCCTATGACAGATACAGCAGCGTCGTCGGTGGGGCTTAACACAGCAGAAAGTTCGATTCTGTCGACATTTTCTTAATTTTGATATGCTTTTGTTTCAGAAATCCCAACAGATCGCACTGAGCATGCGTACGCTTCAGAGCAAGAGTACAAAGAAGCACTCGAGGTGCTTAGGAGAAACACTGGCGCAGTAAGTATTTCTTCTAAAATATTTTATTATTTATACGGGTATTATGTACATATATCATAAAGAACGGTCATGTCAAGAGTACCCTTAATAGACGAGCACGTATGAAAGTACGGATGCCTGTTGATGATGATGTCAGGATCGTAGCAAGTGGAAGGTTGTGTCTCTACCTACCCTGATGAGAAAATAATAAATAAATAAACCACGCATACACTCAACATAGCCCCGCATTAGGGAAACCCTGCGTCAACCATACACATAGATAAAAACAAATTACACCCAAACTCACTAAACTAGTAAAATAGTCTTGCAGTAGCAACATCGGTAAGTCGAATTCGATACTTAAATATTAGCACACACATTGGCTGTTATAAAATGGTATGATTAGTAAAGCTTTCATTCTTTTGTGTTACAGTATACCTCAAAACGTTGATGAGAGGTTACTTACAATTTAGAAATTCACTCTCTGTTCAAACAATACTTTTTTATCTCGACCGATCGCGTAATTGAAATACAATCTTTTTATTTTCAATACCGTGTGTAATTTAGTGTAACTGATTGAAAGATATAATTTTATACAATGCGTGTTAGTTGCAGTTATACTTTTATAGCTCTTTTTCTACTACCTGAGTCACACAGCGTATAACTGCACGTACATATTAAATGGGGCTTAGATTAAGGAAATAAGACCATCAAGCAGGCGCTTATATCACAAAAATACACAATAAAAGACAAGACAGAAGTTTATTTTCCTTCCGTATACGTAGTTTTTTTATTTATTTATATTTTAGTTGATGGGTATGAGTTATTTTATACTTCGATACTTTGAAAAATATACAAATTTATAAGATAAGAAATAAAGTACATACAAAATTTTTACTCTAACATTATTGGAAATTACGAACAGACTATGGTATATGGAACGCGGAGTGCTAAAAACTTTAAAACTAATTGGAAGTAATTGTAATGACTCTAGCTCGTTAAAATTATCTTGAAGTAAGTTAACTGAAATAATATATATAAATATATAATAAATATAATAGTATGTTAAAAACGAACAATTTTTTTACTACTTAGTGAGTAAACCTCTTCCATGTTATCTTTTGACACCATTTACCTGTGACTGTTAAAATAAAAAGAATTCGAAAGTCACGGTATTTCTTAATTTCTTTCTAAATGAAGGCGATTATATATATATTTGGACAGAGTGGGCAAACAAAATTTAAAAATACATAAAAAGTCTTTTTAATTTATTATTGAAATTTATTCTACTGATGCAAACTGACGACTCTAAGGGTCGTATTCCAGAACTCTACTCAATGCTCAAGTCAAGACTTGAGTATGATTTAAAGCACTAGAAATCATACTTAAGTCCCGACTTGAGCATTGATTAGAGTTTTGGAATACGAACCTAAAATTATATGCATTTAATTAGTTGGCACCTTATATCGCAGCCTTGATGCAATAAAACCACATCTGCAAAATGACAGCTTTTCAAGAGAGTGGTTTCCAGATTCTGCGAACGAAATAAGTTGGTAACTTTTGTATGCTTAAATAGAAAAGTGATAAAATTTCACGTATACATAGATTGTTTCATGTAGAGCGATAAAAGCACTTTGACGTACGTAACTTTATTATACCTCTATTATACGATATAGGTACGAATCTCACATCCCAGTAGTTGTAAGACCACAAATGAGCATTTCTATAGACGCAATGTCACGAAAATTACATAAAATTACAAATTGACATTGTAGCGGGTACTGTACGTAACGGGATTACATATTAGTATACGAAAGACTTTTTGTTTATAACTGATTGGTATGAGTAGAATGTAAGAAGCCTTTAACGTATCCATCTTGTTTTGCAAGTGGCTTTCGCTTACATTAAAATGCTGAAAACAGGTTGTGTTGACAAGTGAGAGAGTCTCTGACTGGTAGGCCTATGGGGACAAAAAATTATTCTTTTACACTAAGATCGTTGGTTCTACCATGTTTATTTTTATGATACCAAGGATAGGAGGAGGAGAACAAGTCGTCGGCCTGGTGGTAAGCGACACGCCTATCCATAACAGTTGCATGACACTCATATCTTTCAATCACAAAGATCTGAGGGGCACTGCCACTGCGCCCGTCACTCGGAGATATAAGTTCACAAGTCCATTGTGCCTGTAATTTCTCCACCATCCCTTATCCTTCTCAACTAGAACGCAGTACTGCTCACATTATGGCTTGGCGGCAGAAATAGGTAAGGTGGCAGTACTTCCCTAGACGAACTATTTCACAGGGAGCTCTACGTTAACTAAAATCTAAGTGGGGATATAAGTACTTGAAAATCCCACGGGATCTACTAGTGGAACCAACATTTTGAAAGGGTTTTGCCGTGAGTGGAATAGGACTGAGTTAAATCTTAAGTGTTATCTCTGTTTATAACAAAAACTGTCTTGTTTCCTTAGGAGCGCAGGAAACCAGAGCGGATCTTAGCAACGCAGTCTGAAGTGGATGAAGAAGAATTCCAACAAAACGCACTGGATGAAGTCTTACTTCCAAAAGCATGGGAGTTAAACAATACGGCCCGGACTGACTCGGAGCTATTGTTTTTCAACCGAGTACCGAAAGTCGGTAGTCAAACTCTCATGGAACTTCTGCGTAGACTATCTATTAGGAATAGGTTTGGTAAGTTGGCTCTTTTACTTCACACCGTTCAATGTGACTTGAATAGAGTCAAGTCAAATATTAGATTGCTTAACAGTAGTACAAAGTTACCCATTTAGTATTGCGAGTGTGCGTGTACCAACATGAGTTTTACAAGTTATAACGTTTTGGCTACGATGAATATTAATGTTATATAAAAATGCCTTTTTGCCATTATAATTTTTTCTCTTAATACATATTCATTTCAGCACAAAAATGTTGTAGGAGGTCACGATTTTTTTAAATAATGTTTTATTTTTAAGTAATGATTTTTTTAAATAAAATTTAATTGAGGCTATTAGCGGAAATGTAGTGCAACACACATTTATTTTTTCTCTACAATATTATTTTAAATGATATTGTTGTATTTTTTATACATGAAAATAGCATCTAAATGTAATGTAATTATGTACTTTAGTATCGTTTAAAGTAAGATTGTAGAAATAAATGAAATATAGGTTACACCACCTTTGCACTGGTAGCCTCAATTGTGTTCCTAAATATTTTCCCAAATGTTAAGTAATAAAAACACTTAAGTCCCTAAAATTTTAAAGAAACGTTTTAGTCAGCTTACGCGAATCATAATATAGTTATAATTTTGGAGCATTAAAATGTGACAAAACACCTTTCTGTAAAGGCAGGTTTTATACTTACCACATCGAGTATATAACCAGAAATGGAGACGAAATGTCATTCATTTTATGTTATTATTCTGCCAAATTATTACTGTAACAACTGCGCTCCTATTGGCCAGCCCGCATTCGAAACAATTGCCGGGTGTCGTCAATTGTTTCACTTCAAATCGACCAGTTTACCTTGAACTTTGCTATAATGGCCGAAAATTGCAAAATTACATATTAAATATTTAATTACCGATTAATATAATATGTAATTCGACGTTTTGCTGTTTTTCCCACACCACCGAATGGTATAGCCCCCATTGTTATACAGAATATTTTTGGAATATACGGAGACGTACACACAGGTCAGTTGTTGGAGCAGTTTGTTTCAGCTTTCTAATTTGTGATTTCAGCGCAAATGAGAGTTGATATTTAAAAGTGCTATAAGGCCCATTTGCCTGATGAGCTGCCAGGGATGGATGGCCCTTATTTCGTGTCTATTTAAGGTTATAATGTACTCGATGACTTGTCATCACTGTCAACATACACTAGCTGTTTCAAGAAATAAGTTTATTCATGATATTTTGTATACAATATTTTGTTTGTTGTTTGTATAATAGTATAGGCTACCCATTAAGTAAAATAAAAATAAAAATTCTCCACATTACATGTTATAGGATTCAATCGCGACAACGTGCAGAGGGTTGAAACAATACGACTTTCACCGGCAGACCAACAGGGGCTAGCAGCTATGGTATCAGCTTACGATCAACCTTCTTCCTACATCAAGCATGTCTGCTATACTAATTTTACCCGGTAAGAGATATGAGTATTATTTTTCTCAAGATACATTGTAAAATTTGTACTGTAATTTTATAATATCGTGATGAGGGGTTTTACCTCGAAAAATGTGTGAAGTCAGAGTGGTGGACTATGGCTTAAACGCCTCGCCCGAAAAGAGACCCGTGCCGAACAGTGAGATGTAAGAATGGGCTGATGATGAGACCTCTAATCAATCTTAGAAAAAAACTGCCTGAGACATTTATAAACGTAAATATTCATAATACAATACCTATCCAAAACGAAACAAATAGTCTGCAATTACGCAACATGTAAACAAAAAGTAAAAATAAAACAACTGCCAATCACTGTAAGTAAAAACGGTACTTTCTAGAACAAAACTCCAATTAAATAATAAACTTTATCTTTTAAATTGGTCGAATGGCCAATAAACCCCATACGATCGCTAGCTAGCTCTATCTTTTGTACTCTATAAATCTTTGTGAACAAGGGGTATTATTATTTATTTCGTTATGTTTATCATTATCATAGGTCCAGTTGTAAAACGAGCCGACGTAATCAAAGGTTTTAATGTTCAGAAAGACGACAAGACATAACGTCATACAGAAAAACTTTTTTATATCATACATAGTTCTTTATCAAATAACCAACTGGTTATAGAATTCAAAATTGCACGGACATTATATAACGGAATAAATTTATACGGCGGAAATTAGTGCGAACCTTTCAGTCACTGGGGATGCCAATGCAATTTCCTTACACACACACACACACACACATATATATATATATATATATATATATATATATATATGTACAATATACATGGAAGTTGTTATAATAATAATAAATAAATAATTTATTTGACATCTAAGACCCACTTGTTAAAAGTAAACACACATTGTTACGCTCTTAACGCCGACTACCCGATCACTTCACCAGAACCTGGATGAAATTACGAAGCATCGGCGCATGTAACTTAGCCGTAAACGTTTTCAGGATGCTGTTACGACTAGAACGCAATCTAGAGAGTAGTGACGCCTTCTTTTTTCGCAACACAGCAAAAAAGATATTTACTCTCGCTTGAGTAAACATCGACGATGCGCTACAGTGTCGCGGTTGTCCCAACAGCATCCTGAAACCGTTATTACATTGAACGCGCAGGGCGCCGAGTGCCTTCTGCGTATAGTTAACCCTCAGACCACCCGTGTATGCAGATAGGTAATTTTATAATTGTATCTAATTACAATGATGCATTTTTTTGAGGTTGATTTTAATTCTCGATGGGTGTTAAGCGTCTATACAACCTCAAATGGCTTTGATTCCGCATAAGAATGAAAGTATTGAATCAATCGCTTTGTAAAATAATATATAATAAAATTGAGGATACACACTGATTACTATACGGTGTGAAAATACGATTCCTAAACATTTTCACGATAGAAATAAAACACAAACATCGAAATTTTACAAGAAAACCGCTGTATTCAATAATTACTTTACATGTACATTAATTGCCTCCGTGGTCGAACGGTTACCATCCCGGTCACGCAGAGGTCCCAGGATTCCCGGGCCGGGAGAAATATTTGTATGGCCTACATTTATTTCTCTCGTGAGTTTGGGTGTAATTTGTGTTTGTCTATGTGTGTGTCCATGGCACCCGCGACACGGGGTTTCCCTAGGGCAGGGCTATGTTGAGTGTGTGCGTTATTATATAAAAATTAAATTAAACATTAAGAAATATACCAATCTTTTTTTATATGAACTGAACTAAATAGAACACGTATACTATAATACATTTTTCAAATGGCTGTAATTTCCGAAATAAAGCCATGTGTACCTGCCGCTTGACCCAAGCAAAATGAACCGTATTAGTACGGGAAAAAATAGAATTCGAGCTGAGGTAGTATGGGCTCATAACACAACTTCGAATTCTGCTTACACAGATACATTCAAAGATTTATGAGGTAATTCCGTAATTTGACCCTAACTTAATTTTATCGGTTTTTCCTAGTAAAACACACGTCAAGTACCTTAAGGTGTAGGATAATTATCATGTACACAATCTTGTACCATGTCAAAAAAAAAATGTATAATGTAGGTGTTTATTTAATGACGTAAGCGTTACTTATATTGGACTGAACTATAGCAAAATTACACACAAACGTACACATGCGCTTGATGACGCGCTTAGACGATATTGGAAAAAGTACTGTGAAACTGAAATGGGCTGGAAACAATTTTCTCCCGCCCACACAGCCACTTGATGGATGCCAAAACGATGGACGATGGAGGGTGGACGAGAAAACGGCCAAAGACGATGAGACAGTTCAAGAAGGAGACGGCGTGATGATTTGAATGCACATTATTATATATCTGGCCTGGAGTTGCCTATGCGCAGCAGTGGGACACAATAGGCTATTAAATATTATTATAGGTATTTTCTTCGACTTATACTTACATATATGTACTTACAGACACATGGGACTTGTTAACTTAGGTCTCAGGGTGACGGGCGCAGTAGCAGTGCCCCTAAAATCTTTACGATTTAAAGCTTGTGTTACACTGTAACTGTCATGGATAGGCATGTCGCTTACCACCAGGCTTCTTGCGACTTCTTCAGGCGACTTGATCGTCCCGTCACTCGGTATTATAAAAAAACTTTTCAAAACATCATCCTTTTTTGAATATAAAGTCAACGTAATTATAGGGAAATATTAAGGTATTGCTAACATCCGTGTCGGATGGGAATCGACTTTTCCGGAACTTCTTTCCGGAAAATATTGAAAATATCGTCACATGCAAATGAATGCACTACCTATTGCCTATTTAAGATTTGAAACATTAGAACGCTAATGGTAATGGAATAAAAAAACAAATCGATGTATTAAAATATAAAATGTTGACATCGAAGAAATGAAATCTTAACATCCTTGTTCAATAGACGCAAAACCCATTTCCCATCACAACAATAAACGATTGGCTATAAAAAGTAATTATACAAACAGGCACGTGCAATCATAGCGAATTGCGCCATTGTCTTTACTGTAACTAATAATAAGAATTTTAAAAGCGAGAATCTGCTTTGTTGACAACGTATCAACGATTTGGCTAAACGACACCAATCCATCTTGTGTAGGGAATATTTCTGCCAAAATTGATGAAAACCGCAATTCATCAAAACTTTTACACCTTCATATTGTATTAACGGTGTCAGACTAGAACTCTAGTGAATTCACCGTTGCCACAGTTGTCTGTCAAAGTTGCTACGAAATTATGGCGTTACTTTAAAATATCCAAGGCGCAAAGCGACGCATTATTGCATACTCGTTATGCGCTTGAATTTAAAAAAGTAGTAGCTGCGATACAACAGCTGTTCCATTATTTCAGTATTTGCAGCTCATAAACAAACGTGTTTAAACTCGCACGTCATAAGTATGGGACATCAATGACATTTTTTAGGTTATACATTTATTGAGACGTGTGAAAAACACAAAGACATCGAACCTTTTGCAATCATATCGCAACGTTGGTGTAACAAAGCTACATCTGCAAAACTACAACTTTTCAGGAGAGAGGTTTTAAGACTGTACGAACTAAATAGTTGCAACTTTTTATGCTTATATAGGAAAGGAGAGTTATAAAATTTCACATATTATACGTAATTTGGTGTATGTACATATTTCGTATTATTTTATTATTTTCATGTGATAAAAGCACTTTTGACTTATGGTCTTAATTATTTTATTACATTCAAAAGAAGCACATCAAACTTGAAACTTATTTTGGAACGTTCTTGTTGTAAGCGGCATAGCGTTGAATTTAAATGTTAAGTGTCAAGCTCTACATGCTCGTGATCATGCAGTAATGTTTTAATAAGTTTTCATTAGATACTCCACTCAGCGAAAAGGAAAAAGCAGTAGAGCTTCTTGTGAAAGTGTTCGTCAAGGGAAGTACTGTCACCTTACCTATTTCTCATGACAAGCTGCAATGTGAGCATTACTGCATTCCGGTTTTGAAGGGTAAGCACCCAGTTAAATGAGGCGAAAGTTTTCGCCCAGTTACCACGCCTTCATGTATATTAGATAGATAGATAGATAAATACTTTATTGCTTACACACAAGAACAAGAATAGTACATAAACAACTTAAAACTAATGTGGGCAAAGGCGGTCTTATCGCTAAGAGCGATCTCTTCCAGACAACCTTAGAGTTAGAGGAAAGCTAATCGGAGCGTGAGACGTAGTGTTCCAATTTTACAAATATAAAAATAAAAATATAAAAAAATGAATTGTATAAATTAAAAAAAATACAAAATAAAAAAATTAAATAAAGACACACAGTAATTTATAAAATATTTAATGAATAATGATATATTATACCTATGTAAGTATATGTATATATAAATATACCTAAATAAACTTATACTTACTAATAACTTAATTAATGGCGAATCTGAATTCTATTTACTAGCGACAACATTAAATTCCTCTAAATAATGCAACCGCGCGGCTGCCGCTGCTTAGACCAAATTCAAGCCAGCCTCGCCTGCGTGCTCGGGACGCTCATTTAAATTAAAACGTAAATGCTAAACTAATAGAGCGTATTTTGCCATGACCGCGCATTTGCGATCGCGCGGCGGCCGCCTCGGACTCCGCTCGGCGGCCGCGAGGAATGAGCGCGATGACATTCGTGTCGAATAAATGCCGGGTGCTGATGAAATTTGAGGCACTTGCGACTTGTCAACTTATGTCTCAGGGTGATGGGCGTAATGACAGTGCACCTAAGATCTTTGTGATTTAAAGTTCTGAGTGGTACTGCAACTGTTACGGACAGGCGTGTAGCTCACCACCAGACTTGTTCGCCTCGTCGCTTGGGGTCATAAAAAAGCAACTCGATCATAATTAAGACACGATATAGTTATGGGTCTATTCGTGAATCGCCGGTAGCGTTCTCGTTCTTATTAGTATGTACTTAACAGGTGTTTTACGGACTTTTAAACACGTACAAAGTGTGGCATTACTATTTAATTATAATATTTAGAGTTAAAGACAACAATCTGGTTTACTACCTATTCGAGTAATATTTACGACATTGTGTAATTTCACACCTGTTAGTGGAGCGTATAAGTTAAAAATATGCAAGTAACCAATGACAGTAAGGTCTATTATCTCTATGAAAGCTTAACGGAAAGAGCTGTGTTTTTAATAAAATCATATAATTTTTATTTTAGTTATTTTAATTAAGATGCATTGCATTTTCATATCACGTGATGCTATTGGTTGATTGATAAAATGCAGCAGGAAAATGGCCTTAGAGATATTTGCTACTAATCATAATTTTTTTTATTATATATATAATATTACTATGATTAACTGTTTATTAAATACATATATATACACTCTAGCCTTTGAATTTTTATTCGTGTAGGCAGAGAATATTGATTACCATTTTGACAGACCTTACCTTGTATTATGAGTCTCTGAAAAGGCGGATAGTCTTTTTCTCTAACGTTTGTTTCTGTCTTAAGCGTGCATTTTAATCTCGTGGCCGGTTTTCATCCACTTTTTACTTATATTAGGTACTGAGAATTCTCAAATGGGTGATATTAAAGTCGTATGAGTTGTTTCTAACAAAAAACATAATATATAATGTACATAATACTCACTGTAATATAAGTCGGTATAATGTATTAGCTATTACGATTCTAAGGCTCAATTTATATTACGGCGGAACGGAATGGCGAATTTTTGTAACGATATTATAAATTGAGCCTATAACAGATGAAGAAAGGCTCGAATTTTAGACTGGTTTCCAATTTTTCTTAATTAATTTCAATAAACATTTTTTTTTAATTTCGTCACTAATATTTGTAGCACAGGAAATTCCCAAGTTTCAGACCGGTTGATACGTATTATTGTCTGTAGCAGTCATTGCACCAAGATGTCTATTTCAGATATGGTTACCCCAATCCAATCTACGTGAACGTGGTCCGCGACCCAATCGAACGAGTGATCTCTTGGTACTATTATGTCCGAGCGCCCTGGTACTATGTCGAGAGGAAGAGAGCCTTCCCAGACTTGCCGCTGCCTGACCCCGCCTGGTTGAAAAAGGTATGACAGAACTTAAGTCCTTTACTAGAATATTGAATGAAATGTAACGAAAATGAGTGAATGGTAACAAGCGGTGACCTCGTCCACTGATAAATGACCTGTATATATTATTAATACAAAGATCGAACACAAAGTAAAATTCCTTCAATCTGACTGTACTGATCTGTAGCTTAATTCGAACAGCTTAGGTAGAACATTTGCCCTAGATTGGCATAACAGACGCAGGTTCGAATACTGTTTGTGTTCGATCTTTATTACAAACTAGTAATTTCACAAAAATAAATTAATATCGTGGTAGTAAAACATCACATGATTCATTACAATAATATTAAAACCTGTATAGTCTTTATTATGATGTGTACACCGTAACCAAACATGCTTTTAGTGATGTACCATTTTTTCTTTTTTTCTTTTCTTCCTCGAGTTCGTCATTCAAAAGTCAATTTCACCAACAAAAATCATAATATCGTATTCGAAATGAAATGAAACAAATATCTCCAAAATAGTTTCTAAACAACTACAATTCTAAGAAGTAGATACTGTAAAACGTTGATTTCTTTTTCTATTTCAGAAAAAGACTATAACTAAACGTTTTACCTTGTTTGAGAAAAAAATATCTTGTTTTTTTGCCGTGACGTGATTACATCACGATTTTTAGTTCCAAGATGAAGCCTTTAGCCGATTAGTCGTCACATCGTGTCACTACGTCAAATTTACTGATGTATCCCACAGCAGTCACGTCTGTGCCGTATTAACTTCACGCCGTGAAGGCAAAGCTTGCATTTGCATCCTTTTGCGCTCAATGTAGGAAAAAAGTCAAAGTTACGATTTCAAAGGAACCGTATGGAAGTCATAAACATGACCGTGTTTTTTTTTCTATCTTTCCGACAAAGTGTGGCCGTTTAAATCACGCATTGTTCTATTAAATATGTTTAAAAATATCGCAGTATGGCTGACAACTGTGAACCGAAAAAATAGAATTCAATGCCACTGGGCTGTGTTGCCACTCAAACCGCCGGCTACATTGCCAGTATTATTCCGATTTGTTACCAGTTTCAACTCAAGGCAGCTTACAGTCGGATTTTATTAGAAATAACCAATTTCCAGCTACTAATGTGACTTTGAAAAAGAATTTTTGCCATGTTCTCAATGGAATTCACTGAAACGATATCAGTAAAAAACGTTATTATTTTTTTACTACTTATATAGAGCACCATATTTCATTTACATTTAGTCTCTACGTACTTCTATAATTTTTTTCGTTATCACATTCTTTGTTTTCACATTAAAATCTACAAATTATTATAAAGATATAATTTAGAAAGATTACCAAAACGTCATAATATAAGTAATATCAAATATCAAGTGACGGGACGGATAAGTCGTGCGCCTGATGGTAAGCTCACACGCCTGTCCATAACAGTTGCAGTGCCACTCAGAGCTTTAAATCGCAAAGATCTTAGGGGCATTGCCACAGCGCCCATCACCCTGAAACACAAGTTGACAAGTCCCATGTGCCTGTAATTTCGCCAGCACTCTTACCCTTCAAAGCCGGAACACAGTAATGCTGACATTACTGCTTGGTGGCAGAAATAAATAAGGTGGCAGTACTTCCCTGGACAAACTCTTTCACAAGGAGCTCTACTGCCACTAAAATTATTACCTTTGCCTTCAATTACAAACAAAAAATTTAACACAATCGATACCAATATCAATAAAAAATCCAGTAGCCACGTCGTGACGTAATAGTTAACTTAATAATGGAGAAATTAAATACCATGAACATCACGAATGTTAAACATGAATGACAGTAAATTTTTAGTTTTTGTTAATAAATGTTTCCTGTCGCGTCCCGTTAAATGGCTGCGTTCAGTCAAAAGTACAGATCACTCGGTCACGACCCGCGATTGTACGACTGACGTAGCCATCAAGAAATCAATAATCAAGATTATAACCGCGATCGCGATCAAACTTGGACTTTTAAATAGCAAATTAACGTCAGACGCAGACGTGCAGCATCCCCGTGTTTGGTTTTCAACAAAAAAAATTTTAATGAATCACTCGATCTAGAATACTGGAGCAATAACGTTAGACCCGTTGTTTGCTACTTATTGTAATGGTCGGTTGAAAGAATGCCGCGATGAAAAATTGGTTTTGCATTGTGCTCTTCTTTTGAGCTCTGTAAAAAGAGTAACCGAGTAACAGTGCATGTCGATGATGTTATTAGTGCCTCCAGGCTTTTACCGACAGCTCACACCAACTTATTATGAAAATTAATGGTATCGGCATCAAACGTGTGCGCATGTTTTCTTGTTAATCGTCTGTCTATTGTTAAATGAGTTCTTGACGAACGTATAGATAGATTACACTCGGCCAGGACCGAAGACCCATCAGTTTTTCGCTTGTTAGCGGGGAAAAAATAAATTAGTTTTGGGATCAAAAAAAATTTAACATATTAATTATCAGGTGCAAAAACAAGCTAAACAGATTAACGGGTATTGCACCCATGTATTATATTTTCCTGAGGGGCCACACACGTGTAAGCATAATTACTACAATTTTGTTTTGGAGTAAATAAATAGGTAATAATTAGAGCGGTATCTTGAAACATCTTCATTGGTGATTAACTCGATGCAATCTACTTTGAAACAGTATTGAGCGTATGATAGGCTCCGGTGCTACTCAGTTTGAAGCAAGCCGTTGAAATTTGTGAGGTGATAGTTAATATAGGTTTTTTATCACGTGTATACAAATTTCTTGGGATAACTCTGCATATGATACTTATTATACAATTTGCAATATCGTACAATACTTGAATAGAAAATTCATAAATCATTTGCAAATCTGAATATACCTAAGATGTTCTAATTCCATACACAAATAAGGAATTAGAAAGTTGTCTACACACCTAAAAGGTAAAAGAGTACGTAAGGTAAAACTTACTATGTATAAGTAGAATTTAAAACAACGATTGCGTAAGACAATTACTTCATAGACGCAATTAATAAATCAGGGATTAAAATTAATAACATAAATTGGTAGACAGTGCCTGTACAAAAATAAACGATTATTATTATTATTATTAAAATGATGAGGCAATTTTCTGATTTATTATTCTCGTTAGGTAACTAAAAGGATTTTTGGGATTTATACTCGTATGAATAAATTCATCTCAAATTTAGGATTCATAATAAGATCCAACTTAAGTGTCTTTGTTAAAGATTTTTAGAAAGTCACTGAATTAGTACCCGTCTATTAAATAAATTTCATTCTTACTGTTTTACATTCTATATGTATGTTGTTAATTGTTTGACCTGGTCACTGATAAGGATGTATAGTATGATTCAGTTTTTATGAAGATGGACTCAACATGAGACGAATCGAATCATCTAGATCGTACTCAGAATTTAAACCAAACTGTATCTTTCTGAACCCCTACTGAATCATAAGACTATTCCTATTTTATATTGGTCTGCAAGAAAAGTAGTTTGGCAACATGAATGTATGATATTTGGCGATTGTTGTTACCTACTTCTGTGCCACCAGTCTGTTTTCACTGACAGCACTCTATATGAAAATCGTAACCGGCAGAGGCCGGACAGGCTTAAAAAGTAAAAAAATATTTATTTATTATTCTGGCAATTAAATCATATAATATAAAAAAGTTATTTTATTTATTAAAAAGCCGTGGTAGCCTTATGGTTTCACCTACTGCCTCTCAAGCAGAGGGTCGTGGGTTCGAATCCGGGAATCCGGGGGAAACCTCTGAGTTTCTCGGAATTTATGTGCGAAATTTAATTTGAAATTTATTATGAGCGTTTCGGTGAAAACAAAACATAGTGGTGAAGCCTACATGTTGAAGAAGGTTCACAACCCTCGGAAAACGTGTGAAGTCCCCAGGCCGCATTGGATTAGCGTGGCGTACTATAGCCTAAACCTTCGTCTGAAAGGAAAGGGTTGATGATGATTTATTACAAACACAAATTTTTAAATGATTTCCGATTTTTATAAAATCTATTCACAACGATACGCTGCAATCTGTGGATCGATTTAGAGGCATATAATTCAATACGATACGAAAAATCGATTCAAAGCAAAAAATCGTGAATTTTAGAAAAAACTAACTTCATACTCAACTTAACTAAACTTAAGTCATTGTAGAAAAACTAACTTTTCTACATCGTCTCTGGTCTGGGTGTACAGTGTAGTAGTACAGTCATTGTTTCCGTAACACAAGTGCTTTAGTTACTTACTTTGGGATCAGAACAACGTCTGTGATATAGTCTAATTTTTTATTGTTTTATTTTGCATTGCAGGACTTCGAGACGTGTGTACTGAGCGGCGATCGCGAGTGCCGCTACATCGAGGGCGAGTTCCGCGAAAGTATCGGCGATCATCGACGACAGACACTCTTCTTCTGCGGACACGAGCCTGAGTGCATGTGAGTAATACATTTCTGTATCTTGACTTACTGGGGCAGTCGTTTTTTGCGAAAAGTGTGTTGACCCAAAATATGCACGTAAGACGATTGCCGGTTGACAGCCGCCAATATATAAAATAAAAATACATAAAGCCAAACTAACCTAACCTATGGTTAAAAATACCGACCTCAAAAGTCATTCATCCCCTACTTTACCAACCTTAGAGGTGGAATATTTTCTTCAAATTTAAATGGGACCACTTCTGAGGTACCCTCTTTCCCATAAAAAAAGAATCATCAATATCGGTTCACAAATGGCAGAGTTATATCGTAACATACATAAAAAAAACAAACAGACGAACCTCCAGAACCTCCTTCATTTTTTAAAGTCGGTTAAGAAATAGCTAAAAGCATTATTATTGGTACAAAGATAGAATAAACGCAATGAAAAAATCCTTCGATCCGGCTGGATTCGAACCGGCGACTGTTTGCCAGACTGAGGCTAGCCGCTCTCTCAACTGAGCTATGGAATGAACCAGCAAGCCTCACAATTTTCTATGAAACATCCACGTTATTAGAGTTATTTTTGCATATTGGAAAAATAGGCTAAATAGGCTAAATAGGCTAAATTTGCACATAGTAGATCAATTTACTTCGTCTTGTGTACATGAAGTTCTGTTAATCTAAGCCATTCAAAAATAATGCCAAAGTCTCACACGAAAAGGGCAATAATAATTCCAAACCTTACTTGTTTCGCCTGATACAAACATAGAAGCAAAAATCTTTCGCTACATAATTGCTCTGTAACATTTAATGTTTACTGTCCACAGCCCGTTCAACAGCTTCGAAGCATTACAGCGAGCTAAACGTGTAGTAGAACAACAATATGCAGTAGTTGGTGTACTCGAAGATATGAACTCCACTCTGTTAGCTTTCGAGCGTTACATACCAAGGTTCTTCGATGGTGCCTCACAGCTCTATTGGGGTAAGTTATTTATCTATAGTACGTAGTCCCTATGTACCGTACTTGAGGAGAATGGTAAAAAAGGTTCATAAGCTTACAGTTTATAGTCCACTATTGATCGAAACTTTATTGTTTCAAAGTGCTATCATTCACGAATCGTCTCCTTTCGTCACGAATGTATTCTTCGCTTAGAAATAATTGCTATTTAAAATGGTAGGCGTCGAGCCAAAACTTTAAAATTAAACATGCTAATTTTTTACCCTTCTCACTTCTTTTCCAGAGGCCCAAAACACCTTCAATCGTATCAACCGCAACAACTTCAAGCCGCCAGTGTCAGAAGCAGTGAAACAAATCGTCAGAAGCAACTTCACCAGAGAAATAGAATTTTACGAATTCTGTCGACAACGATTACACTTACAGCTAAAAGCACTCAGAGATCCTACAATTGTAATACCTTCTAGAAGACGGAGAAGGGCACATAGACCTGCTCTGTAGCGATTCTAAAAGCCAAAAGGAAGTTGCATTTATTTTGTACTGAGTCCAAGCTTTAAAACATCGTCGAAATATCTTGTTATATAAAAGAAATTGTTGTAAAATTAAATAAATATCGCTTGATAAACAATGCAAATATGAAACGACGATCTTATGAAAATATAAGATATAAAAGACAATTCTTTCTATACACAAAAATAACGACAAAACGCAGCTTTAAGAATTCACCTTTGGCACCTCGAGTTTAGTATTTGCAACGACATAGTTTAATATATTAGAAGAACATTAAGCACCTAGTCGAAAAAATTAACTATCAAAGAAGCCCCTTTGCATTGTCATCATGAATTCTGAATATAAGATGAAGAACTCGTACGCAAGTGTGCGCCAATGTATGCCATACATACATATAAACAAACAAGACATTACACGGTTAGACGGTAAGCAACGGGACGTCTCTACACTGCAACATTTAAATATATACAAGAACTTTAATAAAGGTATGGAATATAGTAGAAAACAAAGTCTACTACACACAATGTATCTTAAAATTATTTCATACTTACCAAAATGAACTGACCTAAGAATGCATCTACTATCGTTCGCCGAGACATGAAAAAAAAACCAGAAAAGCAGAGACTTTCTCCCGTGGATCTACTTAAATAAAAATAGGCATAGAAACAAGAAATTGTTGCCTTAAATTTAGAACAATAATTTATAATAATAGATAGGAAAATTATAACATCCAGATGGAAATAAATGGCAGAAATTAAGACCAATTGCAATTCCATAATAGCGCAATTACGTGGATTCAAAGATTTTGTCAATAATGCCATTTTTTAACTAAATCTGTTGAATGCATATCTTCGTGACAAAAACGTAAACGTACATCGATATCTTTGGTTAATACCGACCATAGAGTACATATACGGGAATACCAACTTATCTGAAATATGTCAATAAAAGTAACTGTTAGTTGCTAGAAATTCTTTTATTTCCATTCAAAATAAGTTGGTCGATTTAAAAACCGTCGAGCTTCGCCGCGTGCAAACTAATACACACGCCTCTAAGTGAACTAACGTGAAAGAAATGATCGAAGAAGCAATGTTGTTGTTGTGATTATTGTTGAACTTGACACTTCGTGAACTAGAGATAAGAGTGATAATTCTTTTGTATTTATTGTTATTTCTTTAAAAAGTTAATGAAGCTACGTTAGTTAAGAGTTTATTAAGTAACATTCAAAGTTTTCTAATCTCCTTTGACGATTCTCCTTTCACATACTTTTTGTTTATACGGTTTAATTTATTTACAAAATCTTGCAAACTCTGACTCTGAAATCAGACAGAATAGTGCAATGTTTATTGTCTTGAGTAGTATATGTATAACATAGATTTATTTATTTTGGTGACTGACTAATTCATTTCATGTTTTATAGTTTTTTGCTAAAAAAGTATTTCAAGTTTCCATAAATTCTATTTTTGTGATATTTTTCACTCTCCTTAAGTTATAATGATGTGAGTAAGTAGTTGTAAGATTTTTACCTAACATGTAAAATAAAGATCGTCCTTATGAGAAACAATTTTATTTGTTGTTTATTCTTTGTCACTCTAGTTTTCTATTATTTTACGTGCCCATAGACATTACTTTTCCTTTGCTGATTTTAATGACATTTAATGACATGATACTGAATATAGCATAGTAGTAGGTGTGGACTTCCACTTGCTATGATCCTAATTATATCTCCTACTTCCACCATTTACATATTATAAAAAGTTCAATTGTTCCGGGCACTTTTGACCTTTCATTGTCTTTTCTTCAAGCTGGATCACCAGAAGTTGGATTTAAATATGAAAATGGAAACAACACGTATTTTTTATTATGCACTTTATTTTATTACATAGTTTATTAATAAAACAAGTGTCAATACTAGTAAAAATTCAATCGTATTCTGCGTTCGTGATATAAAATTAATATGGCCACATTTCAAGAATTCAGGTACATACAAAATAGAAGAAAGCCGTCCAATAAAATAACATAATTATTATAGTAATATTGCTTATAAGTAATCAATAATTTAATTTAAAAATTTATTGATGATAAATCTCAGAAACGTGATCAACAATTATTTATACCTAACTATTTTTAATTATCAGTTCTTATAAATATTATAGGAAGGCGCCGTCATGACTTGGTGTTATGTGTATAAATATATTTAAAAATATCCAGTACATAAAATCTCATAATATAATATAATCGATTAGATACTTTTGCACAGATATTTTCATTATTATTTCATGTAAATATATTTTATATTTATTTGTTATATATTATTCACCTATCAGATAGACAACCCTATAATATATAATCTAACAATAGTAATTGATATATCCATTTGTATAGCCATAAAATGTACAGACGCAGTTAAACAACATTATAAACATTTACCTACAAGTTCATAGTTAATGTGAATAAAATCTTGCTACCTATGTGATGCATTTATAATTGGACATAGTACACCTAATATAAGGCTAATAGTTTCATAAAAAAGTGTATTAAAAATATTAATATCATTCAGAATTAAACTCTCTCAAACTATGTACAAGGGCCGAGTGAACAAGATTCGTGGACGGAACGCAGTTACAGCCAGCTGCTTCCGGTCGGCCCCGTTTAGGCCGGGCGCGCCAACTGCACACCGAGCCGCTCGGCCCTCAACCACTCATACTCATCGTCACTACTTTACACTGCATTCGGTTACATTTTATTGTCCTACAGGACTATACGCTACACATAAAGTTACGAAATAAAATTCGAAATCCACCTAACTCGAAACGTCGTTGCAAATGGCACTATGAATGAGACCATAGCTCGTAGTATTACATATCTACATCTATTCTACTTTATATCACAAAAACGCTTTACAACTTTAAGCCTCATTTATCAGGACGCCATATTCACTCTCTCGTAGGAACCGATCGCAGCTGGAACAGGCACAGGAATGTGACTAGCAGTGAGCGCTTGGCCCTCGCGTTCGCCTCCGCCCTTCTCTACCCGGACCTGCCGGGTCTCCTCCTCATTCGCTCGAGCGCCGGTCTCCGACGCATCACCTCACTCTGCGTGTACATCTACGCAGGTTCCGTCAGTAGAACGACGGATGCCAGTCCATCGTCGGGTGTAACGGACCAGGTGACATCTGCGCGGCACCATTAGCGCCTAGAGCCAAGCAGTCGAAACAGTAATTAGCGCCGTTGTTATTGTCCCAAAACTGCTGACCTTTGCATTGGAACCGTACTGCTAGCTCTAACCTTTGCCCAGACGATATGCATGGGGCATAGAGGACGAATTGGAAGCGATCCGAGTACCCATCACAAGAACCAGGCACATACGTAGCCTGTAAGTCCGTGTAAGTTTTCCATCGATTCATCGTGTAACGAATGTGAACTGTTTTGTGAAAATCTAGGTTTCGCACTCGTACAGAACCACATACAGTAACATGAACGCCATCACAGACTCGAGCGCTTTCAAGGCACACATTCAATCGCTCTAACTTTTCGGTGACGTCTCGCGGTAGTTGGAATAGCGGCACTAATGTCAGTGAACCGAGTCGCGGAGTCGGGCGTACCGGCGGCGAAGACGCAACGTCGCATCCAGTGAGATCGTCGTATGCCGATTTAGGTATTACTGGAATTTCATCCATAAACGTTTTAACATCTGCCAAATCGAGACCTAACACATCGGCAAAGCGCACAATTTTCTTACGACCAGGTGTGCCAGGTGGCGTTTTTCCAGTTTTGAGCGACGAGCAACGACGTACTCGCTGAGGCCTATCATCTTCGCCGTCATCTAGGTCAACCTTTTTCGTTTCCACGCACAACAGTGAAGGTTCAATTTCAGGACCGGGTGATACTTCTTTATCTCCTGGAACTTCACTGGTTATTATTTCGAGAGTCGCTTTATCTTCTTCGATATGATCTGTTACGTCTGTGCTGTTCGTTTCTACTATTACTAAAGTTTCCTCTTCTACAGGTATTTCAACTTCGGATAATGACAAATTTTCCACTGTCTCTGTTATATCGTTATCCAATGTTTTTTCCGGCCTCTCATCTACGCAGTCCGATGGTTCACTTTTAGCCGACTCAAATTCAGAATCGCTGTCTATGTTGGAATTCAGGTTTAGAGACAGGTTGAGGCGATCGGTAATATTTACCGGCGAGGGTCGTGGGACACAGTCTAGTTCATCGATGCTGTTATGTCTCGCACAGCCTTCGAATGTAATGGGTGAATATAGTCGTTTGTCTATTTGCCCATTTTCCCGTGGTGCCGGCTGTAGTTTTACTGGCGAGCCGTCCGTGTAAAACGTTGTTGAGAACTTGAAACCGTTTTTTTTGTGTTCTGACTGAAGCATTTGTTTTGCATGTTCCTTAATTTCTGGATCAGATTCGACATCGTAGAAAGGCGGTTCCGAGTCGTCGGTTGGGGAGCTGTCTGGGAATATGGGATCAAACTCGTCGACTGGACTGGATGGGCTTTCGCATTCTAGTTCGAAGTCGTAGAATGTGTCATGTTCGCGGGAGGTTGAGGTAGTCGGCCTGAGGTTGGCGGCACCGTTATCGCGTGCTAGCCAACTGCTCTCGCAGTCGTCGTCATGCGCGGCGCCTAGGTTGCGCAAGCGCGAGTGCAAATCGCGCGCGAACGCTGCGGCGCGCCCACGGCACGACATCGGCAGTAGCGACGTCAGTCCGCACTGCGACCCCGCGTGATCACCGTTCATCTGCGTCTGAAACAATTCCAACAAAGCCATTATGCCATTTGTACCGTATCAACATTATCATATTGCAGGAATTGTCTAAAATAAGAAGAGAGACTTCAATTCGAAGATAGTATAACCCTTATAGCACAGAATGATACGATCGTGCGTTCAACTTTGAAAAAATTTGGGTATAAAAGTATTAAACTTTACCGCGTCGGATCAACACCGATTGTTTGTGCGTTCGATCAATATTCGCTGTTAAAGCAATGCGGCCGTGTTCTAGGGTTACACACCGGTGCTGAGAGCGACAGGTGAGGTACACGCCGTGTCGGACGTCAGGTCGAAAAACTAGATTTTTTAAATTTCAACATTTCGTGTTTTCTGACCTAATGGTGTATTTTCTTATTAAGTACACGTTATATTTTACATAAAAAATAATTAAGCAGTGAATTGTTAGAAATTTTTGTTTTTATTCAGTCATAAAGTCCTAAAACATGATCGTGCTTGTCAGGATGGAAATGACAAGATTAGTTTTTAATAAAATTTTTATTGAATTGATATTCAATTATTTTTTGTGAAATTACTCCACTAGTTTGTTATAATTATTAATACAAAGATCGAACACTCAGAAAAAATTTTTTTCGATCCGGTCGGATTCGAACCGACGTCTTCTTGCATACCGTGCCAGACGCTATACCAACTAAGCCACGGAACGAACCAACGGACCTCACGAATTTCTCTATGTGCTTGCGTCGTGTCTTTGTACTTGGTCTTTCAACGACGTTTTAGTCGTAGCGCCATCTATGAGAAATCTATTGCAGATTTATCACCCAGTTAGTACCTTTAGAGCTAGCAGTCTTTTTTCTGAGTGTTCGATCTTTGTATTAATAATTATAACAAACTATTGGAGTAATTTCACAAAAAATAATTGAATATCAATTCAATAAAAATTTAATTAATACAATGAATAGCGACATCTCTCGCCAGGACTGGTAGCTGTAAAGGTACTAACTGGGTGATAAATCTGCAATAGATTTCTCATAGATGGCGCTACGACTAAAAAGTCGTTGAAAGACCAAGTACAAAGACACGACGCAAGCACATAGAGAAATTCGTGAGGTCCGTCGGTTCGTTCGGTGGCTTAGTTGGTACAGCGTCTGGCACGGTATGCAAGAAGACGTCGGTTCGAATCCGACCGGATCGAAGGAATTTTTTCTGAGTGTTCGATCTTTGTATTAATAATTATAAGATTAGTTTTTCTTTACTTAATTTTTTTATTGTTTTTAGGGACGTTAACATGCGATTTGGTTGCACAAATCATCGGAAACGTCGACAAATCGGAGTTAGGTGAATCTGACCTTGAACATTGAGAACAGGAGATAGAAAGCGCGAGTGATTCTTCACTGTCACGTGGATATAAAGTGATAGTGACTCTTCACCGTCTAGCTCCTCTATCATCTCAGAAAAAATCGAACCCAAACCTGGATTTAATGCTCTCATATCATCTCCGAGCAGTCGTCGTGATAATAATCACAGTTGTGGTAGGAGGTCGACTATTCGCTACTTTATATCTAATCAAGTCGTATCTGTATCCAGAAAGTCGATCATCGGAAACTCTCACCAGCTCAGACCAACCCCATATCTTTTTACGTTCATTTTGATTATAGTGACCCTCCCTACCGACCCTGAGGGTATAAGAGAAGGGCACTATAACTTATGTGCGTACAGGAACCTTCTAAGTTCAGGTTCTGACCCCAGATCAGCCAGTATACAGGGTTGTCACAGACCTCTGTCACTTGACTTCATCCGATTCTTCGAGAGGCTAGTGCCTCGGGTGAGCCACCCCGGGTGCACGTACAGTGCCCTTCCTATTTTCCAGATAGGTACCGGAGCTGTAGGCAAGCTCACTTCCCGCTGCGCATTGTACAACTAGCGTTTGCCACCGCTAACCCGTCCACTCGGAGTCCATTACCAAATCTCCTCATTGGTGGTGGAGCTGTAAGGCACCCTCACTTCCCTACGCCGAAAAACGACGTCTCTCCAGTTCCCAATAACCTAAGCTGCTGGAGGGACCGGAGGATATCTAGCTTATTCTTTACTAGCTCTCCGGGCTTACTAGTGCCGGAGATGATAGTCCTGCGACAATGTCCGGTTATAGCTTCCAACTTAAAGGGCAATTCACGTGCCCCGCGCGTCTCCTCGCTTCAGGCTTCAGACAGACGCCCCGGCCACACCCAACCGGGGCAGACAAACAAGTCTGTCTCTGTAGCTAACCACAAACCCCGGCGAGTCCATACCCAAGTCCTAGTCCACCAGAGACGTCCAAAGGCGTATCACCGATGGAGGAACCAGCCCAGACCAGTCGTTTATCAGAGGGTTCCGAATTCTCCACAGTCACTTCAATCATCCAGTCTTGGTGAATCTTCTAACAGTACCCGTTCAAGTACCCGTGATGCTCACCAAAGTCGTGGTCGATCATCATCTATTCGAAGCCATACTTCTATTCGAGAACGGTCACGATCAGAAAGGCGAAGTCGTTCGACTGACGCACCGTCATCACATAGATCAAGGAAGTAGAGGCAAATGTCATATGAGGATGGGGATCAATTGTGGTAGGTACCCTCGCCTTACGACTGGAACTTGCCGCCTTTGATTACCTTAAACCTTTGATTATTTTCTTGAGTATTTTGACGACACGAATCAACAGAAAAGACCTCGAATAGTTAGTACTTTGCGTTAATTAATAATTAATAATAAGTTCATATATTGTTATATTTCATGTGAAACATGTGATAAACTTCAAGTTTCAATAATATAGTTGATTTTGTTGCTTTATAGGTCGCCTTTTATTGAAAATTTTTATTGAAGTGAAGTCATAGAAAAAAAAACGCTAACGCTTTGGTAAGGTTCATGCCGGGATGCTTCATCATGCGGGACGATAGTGCGGGGTTTTTGCAAGGGTTTTGGGAGAGTGATTTTTTTGTATTTTTTTCTTTTTACTAGCGGCATAAATGCTTAAAAAATGCAACATCAAATCTTTTATTTATACATTTTTTTAAATTTATAGTTAATAAAAAATAATTTTCTCGTGCTGAAAGGGATAATGCGTGATTATATTTGTTTTATAGGTATAAAAGCGAGATTATAGTATTATTTATTCTTGATAATCGTGACATATAAGTTGAATGTCAAGTGTGAACGACCTCGATAAGATAAGGCTATTACATGGGTTGCGTTATAATCGGTGCCGAAGTGCACGATATGCATAAATAACTACAATAATGATATTGCAAAAAACAACATTGATGATTAATGCCACGAGAGAAATGTGATGTATGACTGACCATGAGGTTATTACTATGTTTTAAAAAAGAATTTCGATAATAGGGAAAGAAAATATCTGTTTTCGTAGAACTGACATATTTTCGCTATAGGTACTTTATTCCTTGTACTTAGTTTATAACTGACTAACAGTACCCAATGCTAAATCTCATGCGGTAGTTATGTCTCTACGGTTCATACGTTAAGTGGTTTGCCTTCCTGCTTATTTATACAAGTCGTCTCAAAGTAAGTCAATGCCAATATCCTTACCATAATCGTATTAAGTTTTCTAAATTAAATACTCAATACCTAACGTGTTGTTGTTTACAACCCACACGTAAGTCTCAACCAAAGCTAACACGGGTTTCAATATCTGGTGTGTGGTTTGATTTAATTTATACTCCAGGAAGATCGCAAAAGTTTCAAACGTTTTGATTATTCGAGTGGGATGATGTGGTGGGGAGCGTTCATATGCTATCCGCTTTATAGTCAAAGAAAAACTCCCAAACGACATTAATTTCTTTATTACATCCGGTTCCTGAGCGTGTAACTGTTTGAATATTTATAGAAGAGGCATCCTCAGACGTCAGCGTGTAAAATTTGGCACGCGTCGCAGTCAAGCCCACGCTAGTACTGGGATTGCAATCTTATGACACCGCTGTGATTGCTACGTTCAAAAAATAGATTCGATTCATCCTGTACAGTTTAGAAACATCATTGTTCTCCCCTTGCATCGCTTGCAAGGTTTGGCGAATGGGTTGGTACGTGGTTTTCCGTCGGTTGCATCAAGCATTAGTTTGATGCTGATGCAACTGCTCTCCTAACCTGCTCTTCAAACTTTAAGGAGATCTAATGCTCTCCTTGAAGTTTGAAGCGTGACCTATATACGATGTAATGTCACTGTACTAAATCTAGGATGGAAAGCCGTGACCTCATTTTACTTTCGCGTAACATTTAAAATTTAAGCGCAAAGCATTTAAATTGAAAAATCTTTAAATTTTTCTTGCACTTTTAGCATTTCAATTTTGAATTTTTACTAGTCAAGGACGAGACGACAGTTAATTACGTATAAAAAAATCAGTTTCTGAATATATTGTTTAAGAAGAAACAAATGTATGAAAGATATAAGACACAATGTAGCAACAAAGTGGTCTCTTGACGCACGTATCTGTTTACTTTGCCGCTCTTTTAATATAAACAGTCATAGACGACAAACGTTTTATTATGATGGTTGAAATTGGACTAAATTAGCTTGGTACGCGCGAAATTAAATTGATCTCACATGACATGCACACTCCACCGAACAAAAATCAGGTGTTGCAAGGAAAATTTGGATTATGTTCGGACTAAATTGATTTCTAATGTCCTCTGGCGCACAATGAGGTAAACACGACACCTGCACATACTGCCAAATTTAAACCGAACTCTGAACATCTTTTAAACCGAAATAAAACATCCACTACCCAAACATGAACGTAAGGACTAAAAAAGCACCTAGTCGGAGTTCATCATAAATTTGCAGTTGTTAAATGCTAGTCACACTTTCTATCGATGCCAAAAGCATTCTTAGCGTTACACACGGGTGTGTCCAATTGACCAATAACAAACGTGTTGTTTGCCCACATAAAAGTCAAAACTGAAACCGTGCCAAAACTGAGACTCCACACGTAAAAAAAAGAAGTGTCCAAGCTTAAACTAAACATCGT